TAATGTCACGGTGACGAAATTTTAATTCATGCATTGGTTTTGTTTATCATCAAAATTTATAAATTTTGATTTTTCCTTTCTTCCTATGTTTGAAAAAGTAAGGTATTGGTTTGCTTAATAAATTTACTCTCTTTAATTTTAAATTTTATTCCAATCACTTCATTTCTTATATTTTCTTCATTCACTCACTTATTTCAACATTCTACCAAGTCAGATAATGAGAAATGTAAAAAAAAGATTATAATAGCATCAAATATAATTTGCATATATGTATGGTACAATCAAAACTTTATTTGATAAAAACAAAAAATGGTGATAATTTATTTCTCTAATGTAAAGGATGAATATATTTTATTGACTATAGAATTTAGATTTAGATAATATTATTACTGATAATGTCTTACTGATTATATCACAAGTTATATAATCATCAACACATCTGACTGATTATGTCATCTTTAGATTCAGGGAATACACATTATTATCAATATGTCTTGATGATCGTATCACGTTTGAATTCAAGGGATGTCATTATCATTATCAGTCATTATTAGTCTCTGATAATTCTAATATGTTGATGATGATGTTATCGAACTGTCCGTGTCATCATTAAAATATATTAAAAGATCACGAAGTTCTTGATTAAGTCTTTTTATTCGTTCCATTCTTGCATATAAATTTGCTATTATTTCATCTGTCTAGAATGAAAGTAGTTGTTTTAAGCATAAATTACATTTTTTTTTGGTAATTAAAAATGTGAAAATATTCAAATCTAAATCAATTAACAGTTAAATGAAAATTTACGAAAAAAATTAAATCATATTTGGAATTACATTACTAGTGATTATAGAATTTCATTAATTTTATTCATAAAAAAAATGATACTAAAATTACTGTTTTGAAATATCGTATGTTAACAACCTGTTTCATTTCATATTGTATACGATCATGCCAAAATGTAAGCTCTTTATGAATTACTTCCTTACAATGTGTTGACAATTCGGTTGTCTGAAAATACTAATTAAATAATTATAATATAATGATTAAAAGTGTCATCGCTCTCCCAAATGATTTAAGATTTTAGATTTAAGCGCAATGTATTTCTTTATTATTTAATTATTATTTTCAAAAAAAAAAACAAATAATTTTTTTTTTGATCTAATACTAATTTACCTAATTGTAACTTCAAAGTTTATATATCTCTAAATTAACCTATGTGAATATTACTGATTATTTAAAAATAAGTAATTAAAAATAAGTTGATGCCCTTCTTCTAAGTATATTTTTGATTTAAGACACACAAATATTGTGCATTACTTGAAAACAGATAATTGAAAAATAGGTAGACAGTAAAAGAAAAAGTTAATTTAAAACATAAATAAAGATTAAACCTTTCTTGTATCGGTGTTGAAGATGTTATTAAGTTCTGCAATATTACTACTTTGAAGATGTCGTGCTCGATTGCATAATGGCATTTTTACCGGTGACTCCAACATTTCACTCATATTTCGACTATTTTCTCCAAATCCGTCACTGGCTGTTCTCAGAATAGACGAGGATGTCTGTTTGTTTTAAACAAAGTTAAAATTTTTTAATTACAATCAATACATCTCCAATTTCTTTATCTCAATAATCACTCTCTCAAATAATTTACAGTTTTAATTTCAAATTAAAATTAAAAATTAGAACTAATAAGTAAGAAAAAACCGAATTCGGCTGAGTGGTATTTTCGAATGGCGTATTTTCATTTTGTGGTTGAAAATCATCGCTATTCGCATTTCCTTCTAAAATTCTCAGATAATATAAACAAATTTTACAACAATTGAAATTAAAATTTCAAGTGTTGTATTAATGAAGATATTGTCCTAATTTTGAATGAAATAATTAATGACTAATTAGCTGCAATTAATTGAATACTGATAAACATGATTTGAAATGGTTGATCTGATAAGCATCTCATTGTTCGTCGTAATTCTTGCCAAGTATTTTGCTCAATTTTAAAATTGGATATTTCTGTTTCAGCCATTGTTTTTTCCTTTTCCTTCTTGTTTGCCTATTCTGTAATTAATTTGCTGAAAAAAAAACGTACGAATTGATTGGAATGAAAAAATAATTTATGTCAAACATTTTCAGTTATTGTATAAAAGACAAAGTAGCAAATGCATTTTAGCGTAATTTCAATTAATTAAAAGAGTCATTTAAATATCTCGTTAATTATTTAAAATTATAGCGTAGTCATGAAAAAAATCAAAGAGTTTCTTTTTTAAAGAAAATTTAATGAGAACACAAATCTTCGACCAATCATTAAAATAAAAAAAGTTGACAATAATTTTTTCCTATAATTGATGTATAATTTCAAATAAATTAAAAAAATTTTATTACCGAATGAAAATTTTTCTGAAGAAAGAGAAAAACAAGAAGCTATAGTAATAACACTTTTTTCATTATTTATATCATACAAAAACAGCAACTACCACCACGTTAAGCACTAATTAGTTAATTAATGCTTTAAGAGTGCCATAGGCTAGGAATGGAACTAATTAACATATTTGAAAATGTTGTGAACTGAAAATGATTATTATTTCATCAAAAATTAAATTGCTATTTATTTAAAATTATTTATTTTCCTGGAACTTTTTTTTAAAAAAGGGAGCAAAATAAGTGACAAAAGAAAAACAAAAATAATTTTCGTCATTTTATTGTCCTTTCTTTTAAATATTTATCGTTCACACATTCATACGTTGATTTTTAAATTCATCATTTTAGCGTCTGTTTTTCCCAAAAAATTTTCACATTTTGCTTGTGTTGTAGAAACGTAACAATCTCTCAATGTATCATTTCAAAATTTTAATTTATATTTTTAATTAACTATCAAAAACATTTCCACATGTATTCATTTATTTAATCGTTCATTTATTTATTTATTCATTACTTATTTATTAT